TTTTTTTGTGTGTAGTAGTACTGTATGGAGCTTTCAAGACAACGATGAATGACACCAGTGAAATGGATTTTGTTGTCTTGTTCCTGATGTTAGAGGAAAAGCTATTAGGGTTGGTTTTGTTTTGTTTTGTTTTTTGCCATTAAATGCAGTGTTAGTTGGGAATCTTTAACTCTTGGTTGTTCTGAGTTTTTCTTTTACTCATAGTTCTGAGAGTTCTTTTCATGAAGTAGTTGAATATATTTTTTGTATAATTTGAGATGACTGTGCAGGACACCCCCCCCCCACTCCTTTGTTCTGTTATGTAAAGCATTTAATTGATTTGCTTGGAGATGGAACACCTCATAATTTCTAGGATAAATCCTACTTGTTATGGCAAATAATGCTTTCAATATTCTGTTGTATTGAATTTGCTTGTATGTTCTTAAGGATATTGCATTTACATTCATAAAGAATTTTGGTTTTAAATCTTCTTTTCCTGTGATATACTTACCTGTCATTGAAGTATTTGAGGCCTCATAGAATAGAGAACTCTTTTCTTCTGTTCTTTGGAAGAGTTCATAAAGGTGTATAAATGTTTCTTCAGCATTTTACAGAATGCTGGGGAACTCTTCTAGTCCAGTTGTTTCTTTGTTGGGGGTTTTGATCACTAATTCAATCTCTGTATTTGTTATAGGTCTGTTGCCATTTCCTATTTGAGCTTGAGTAGTTATATAAATTTTGTGTTTTCTGTTCCTTCTGAGTTAATTGGCTGGCATACAATACTTACAGTTGTTAGCTGAGTTTTCTTTTATTGCATACTATTTGTTTGCCAAGATAACCCCATGTGTGTGAGTTATCTCATTAATTTTTATAACAACCCTAAGATATAAGTGGGGATAAGTGGTATTCTGTTTTATTAAATGAAAAGAATAAACTAAAAAAAATAAGTGTTAATTAAGTTTTCTGGAGATTCACATCTCAAAAACAATGGTTTTAGCATTTAGGCTAATGTTCTCCAAATGGATATTTCATACTCTTGGGAACACAGTCTAAATAAATATGATCTTAAAGAACTCTTAAACCTTTTGTTTAAGAAATAATTTTGAGTGAGGTTATCCAAACAACACCTTACAAAGCCAGCTATCTCTCTTTCATTATGTTTCAAACAGAGGTGTATCACCAACATTGGAACACAGATTAATTTAGTCTACATATCTAGGATGAAAGAAATTCTGCAATGTTCCAATCAGCACCTCTATTTTCACTGTGAGTGTTGAGGTACAGCAAGAAAATATACTTATTTTTTAGTGAAGGACTAAATTTAGCCCATGATTTTTAGATTTTAAGAGGCATGTAGAGCAACATAGGTGATAGTTAAATAAATAAATAAATAAAACACAGCCAAAAAATCTTTTCACTTGTAGTAGTATTTGATGAATAGAAGAAAAATTTAGCAGGAGAAATGAGAATATGCTGGTTTTAGCAATGAATATCATAATGCTTTCTATTTTTGTGTGCCCCAAACAAATTGAAAGTATTGTGTCAGTTTTAAATATATCACATATTACCTGCAAACCTTTGCTACAGTGCAACATCACACAGTCTGAACCTTCTATATCTTCTCAGAAGATCAAGAGATGATGTGCAAAAGTGGCACATTCAAGTCTATATTAGAAACCTTTGTAAAGTGACAAGAACAGTTATATCTCATGAAAGTATGGCCCATAGTGTTGTCAACTTCCTATGATGACACCACAATAATTTGTGAAGTTAGGGGTGGAAAATCAAATAAGAGACTGTGTCCCATTACTGATGAATCTGAGTTCTCTCTCCTAGTTCTGACTTTTTCTTTCTCCCTTCTACTCTTTCCAAGTCTCAAAATGACTTTTTCAGTGTATTAATATCTATAATTAAAAAATCTTAGGATCTACAACTCTCCCAATTCCTTGTCTCTCTAAAGAATGAAAATAGATGGACAAAATTTTACTATGCTATTTTGACTATGTTTTTCAGATTTTTTTTAATGACTCCTTTTAGAAAGTAGGATTTATATATGAAACACATCCACTAAAAATATTCTGAGAGGTGTCTAATGTGTTCCACGTTCTTGGGATAAATTCTCCTTCTCTAGTGTTTAATTAAATGCACTAAGGTTTGGGTTTATCTCAGTGTCTCTGGAAATTTGAGAATTTACTTTTTTTCTTTCATTTGGAACTCTTGGTGTGGAAGGGATGCCAAAGGAATGTTGCCTGTTTCGATGAATGAATCCAGTGTCAGCCACATTTATGTGGGTCTAAATTCTGTTTTATGCTTGTTCTGCAATAATAGCTAGATTTCAGAAGTTGGACTTATAGAATGACCATTGCTTCTCAGATTAGTGTTTGGAGACTGTCTTCTTAGACTTGAGGTAACAAGGGCCAGATTGCCATCATGCGTCATGTCTAAAGTGAACCTGTTCCAACAGGCTGCCTTTTCCTTTGTACAAATTTAAAAAGAATGGTCCTCATGCAAACATTTCACATCCAGAAACGAATTTGAAAAAAAAATTGCTGCAACATGTTGGCTGATTCCCTGCCAAATCAGCCACTGCAAACTTTTCTTGATCAACTGTTACAAAGAAAATTAGAAGGAAGTGTGTAACTCTGTTATCACAAACTAAACTCATGTTGCCCTGAAATCTCTCTCTCACTCTTACATTATTTTCTTCTATGGTTAACCCTAATTCCCCTCTCCTGCCTTTCTACTCCCCTCCTACTTCTAACCATCCTGGTGATATACTCCATTGCTCTAATGTATTCATTTTGACTTTTAGTACTGATACAATGATGGGTTCTGGAGAAATAGCTTTCTGAAGATCTATTCAGATATGCAGATTCAAACCCTCAGAAAGGTTAAAAATATTTTGAAAATATGCTTGTCAACAGTGGAAAGAAAGCTGTTTGTAGCCAGCAGGTGAGCTGGAGAGTACTACAGGGTGTGGTAGAGATAGTCATAAATTAACTGGCAAGCCAGAAACCATGTAAAAAGCCGACTATTTCACGGCACAGTGGCATGACAGCTATGGAGAAGGAGTGCCCTGGGGAATTCTTTCAGAGTTTGATTTTTTAAAATATGTTTGACATGAAAAATGTTTTAGTACAAATAAAGCCACTGGTATTAAACTTCCAGGGAGGGGGTTGTGGTGTAGAGTTGCATGAATAATGCATGACATTTAAAGAAAGAACAGCTTTAAAATGTTTGGGGAGGAGGTCTGTGTTGACGGGTGGAATGGTTATTTTTTTTCACTCTATTTTTGAAACATCATTAATTCAGTATCATTTGTGGTTTTTTTAAAAGCTGATAAGATATCCACCAAAGGAAAAAAATACCATTTGACTTAGATCAAGATATTCTTTCTTCAGATAATTTACTTTAAATATCAAGAAGATCAGTAGACTTATTTAAGCATAAAGTGATAGCCATTTACTATAAAATAATTTTGCCTAGTTATCTTTTTTAAAAAAACTCAGAGTAGGGCAGACTCAAATCAACCTCATGGAAGGGGAAAAACAAGGTCAGATATTTTGAACATTACTCCATAGGAGACCGGCACAATATGGCGTTAGTGAGTGCATTGCGGCAGCATCCCGTTTGCAATCAGAATCCAATTGTTACTGAACTGTGTACAGGCACACACTGTGCTCAATGGGCTGACGGGGTATTATGGATATGACGCAAAGAGACCGTGCAGATCAGAAGCTAACAATTTGTTAAAAGTGAAAGCGACTTAATATTTACATTGGGCCAGCTGAGTAGCACTTTACATGGCAAGCAGGATGAGTTCCAAGGACCCGGGGTACCAGGCAAGCTGCAGGTGTTAGCGCCCACATAGACAGAAAACAAGAGGTTCTCTTGCTTTCTAGTTGACAACCCCAGTGCCTGGAATTCTTCCTTCAATGTCTCTTCATTATTACATTCCGAGTTCAGTGTGGAAAAAGTTCATGCAAAACAGCATGATTATTATAAATGTCAAAATGTGTGGGGGAACAGCCTATTAAAATATAGCCTAGAGATAGTACATAACACTGACTTTAAATAAGTAGCTGGAGCCAGAGTGCTACTACATTAAGTCATTGATATTGTGTGATTCATCCACAAATATTAATTTTTAGTTCACTTACCGCCATTCCAATATGTCCCCCATGTTCTTTCTCTTGTCTCTTTGGGTCTCTGACCATGACCTGTGTTCTCAGGTCACAGGAGGTGCTTCAATATCCTGGGTAGGTGATGGCTTGGTCTTGAAACACCTTACAATATAAAATAGAGAGCACTCATTCCCAGATTTTAAGTGCAGACAGCCTATGCAAAATGTGTAGTTATTTAATTATCATCACCAAAAAATGGTTCAATCAGTGCCTTGTGTGCATGATTCTACACTAGGCTCCATTACTCTAGTACTGAATGTTGAACTGAAAGACACAGATTTCCACTGTCAATAGGTGCCAGCATTTCACAGAGTGCCAACAGGTAGGATTATCCATATTAAAGGGTTTTTTTTTGTAGTGTGTTGTTTACTCTTTATGAAATAAAACTTAGCATTATGGCCAGTCATTAGCAAATAGTCTCTTTTGGACTCTAGGATTCCACTTCTCTACCTTACCTACCATGATTAAACTTTGTTTCTTTAAGAGTAAAACCTCTTTCACAGTGTGCTGAGCATCAGCCTGGCTTTAAGATTTTTTTTGACTCTTAAAAAAAATGATGTATTACAAGATTTGTAGTGGAGCGAACATGCTTGAATTGCACATTTAATTTTTTTCAACATCACATTCATGTTCTGCCAGTTTGCCTACCAGCTATCTGTTAACAAAAAGTTCCAAGGCAGCAGTGCAAGCCTGTGCCCAGCTAAGCCTTTTGTTTCTGCAGATGTTTGGGCTTAGGGCAATGTTGTAAAGCTGGGGCGAGCCAAGGACCATGTTTATACTTGTCTGCTGCGATTCCCTGGGCATTGTCTAACCTGTGTGCATTGTTCTTTTCGACAGGTGATAACTACCCTGTACAGTTCATTCCGTCAACAATGGCAGCTGCTGCTGCTTCTGGGCTCAGCCCTTTACAGCTCCAGGTAAGTGCCAGGAGGTAAAAAGAATGTGGGAGAGGGGCCAGTGCTTTAGTGGAAACCTGCAAGCCAGCTGTATTCTAAATAATGGCCTGAATGTTAAATCATTTTTAATCATAGTCCAGAGAATTAACACCTTCTGTACTTAGCACACTGGAAATGGAAGAGAAAAGTGCCATTTCCTGCCATTTTTAAAGGAAATTTGATGTCACAATTTGGTACTGTGTGCTCTCTCCCTTGGAAAGTTAACAGTTTTAAATTGTTTAAGGCTAGTTGTTGAATGTGTTACCCTTTTCCTTATCAGTATTTCAGTCTAGTTTTTTCATGTTTTACCCTTTGTCTAATCAGTATTTCCCCCCCCCCCCGTGTTTCTATTATACAGATACTAGCTTTTCCACCATCAGCTTTAGACCAGAGATGGTGCTGGTCCTTTTCCCCCTTGTAGCTCATGGAATAAGAAACATTATTCTTAGTTACTTTATTTAGCAAAACATAGACACACTGTTTCCAAGTGTGTGGCATGACCTTGTTCTCACCAGGGTTAAAGGTCTAGGCATGGTTCCCAAGTCAGTACTGGGTCAGTGTCTCTTGTTTATCATGCTAATCATGCTTTAAGGCTGACTGAACAATTATTTGCACCTTACGTTCCTCATAGTGAAATGGGGTATTTAGGATAGGCCTGGTGGCCTTTAAATATTTCTAACACCCCTACTAGAGCCAATATAAACTGACTTTAACTATGAATATATTTCAGTGGTAAAAACAGAGAGTCAAAGTTTTAGCATTAAATTACTTAACAATATAGGATTAGTTAAATTTCCCTACAGTTCAAAATCCCTGAAAGACAGTTTTTGTTTGATTTTATTTGAGCTTTCCTTTTGAATCTGGGGAATAGCTTCTGGACAGATAGTATTTTTTGTGTTGCTATTGCCTGTGAGACTTGACCATAAAAAGTGTGCCACTGTTGTAACAACAATGACAAACAAACAAAAAACCCCACAACACTTTAAACATTTTCAGTAAGAAGTTTCCGTCACAAGCCTCACCTTGGCAGCATAAACTTGTCTGCACTAGAGGTACCAAGTGACAGGAACATCTTGCCAGCAGGGTGGCCAACTCCTTCTCTTCACAGACATTTGCCTTACACACTTCCAACACTGTGCTCCCAGCAGCAGGGGAGGATCTAAAGGGAGCTATCCCACTGGTAACCCTCCTCTAGTTCTGTACCAGCTGTGCAGCTGTGCTGTGGGTTCCCTCTTGATTTAGAGGCAGGAGGAAGTACTCACTGGCTCCTCCTTTGACCAGTTTCTGTAAAACAGAGAGGCTGGGTCTAGGACTGCTTTCCATTCTTTGATGTGGTCTATACCCTGCATTGAATTCCATGTTGTTTCTTGAGTTCTGACAGTATGTTTTGTCTTTTTTTTTTCTGAATATGCCATTAAACAGAAGGGTCATGTCTCCCACCCACAAATTAACCCAAGGCTAAAGGGCATAAGTGACCGTTTTGGCAGGAATTTGGACACCTTTGAACATGGTGGTGGCCACTCTTACAACCACAAACAGATTGAGGTATGAATGCTTCTGTTGGTGCTTCTTTGGGTGGGGGACTCGATGGTTCCAGCATATTCTAGGCTTTCTGAAAAGTGGCAAACAGCCTGAATGCTAACGCCAATCCTTTTTCTCCTCATTCCTAAGGAGGCTTTTTCTTTTATTCCTTTTCCTTCAGAGAAAAAAGCAAAACTTAACCTGAAGTGCTTAAACTAGGTTATATTCTGCTGTGTTCTTGTGAGTAGCTTCAAAGCTGCCTTTCCACACTCTTACCCATTCTTATGTATAATGTTGTATTATGTTTAACAAATACTTTAATGATCATTTCCATTTTACCTTGTACTCCCCTGTAACACTGATCAACCCTGATTCTGACTGTATAGTTCTATAGCCAAGGGGCAGAGAGGTCCAGAGAGCCCACCACAGCTGTTAAATACTTGGGGCGTCAGGGTGACTATTCACAGTTGCTAACCCTGTCTGAGCTGGTTTCCTAACTTTGTTTTTACTTCCTGAAATTGAGTGTCTGGGCCTAGATGAGCCCACAAGTCTCCTGGGTGTCCTTAAAGTGTTTAGCCACCCAAGAAAAAATGCGTGATTTGGGGAATTCATGCCCCTTCTGTGTCTGTCCCTTTAGAAGATGAAGTCCTTCTCTGCAGCAGGAAATCAGTCTTCTTCTCTGTGGTGTCACACTGTATCTCTCTCCTGTATCAATCATTAGTTTCCCTCTCTGGGACTGTCAGAGATATGGGTGGGTTACCAGGTAGCTACTGATTTTTTTTTTAAAGATTAATTTTCTGGGTAAGACCAAATACCAAACTTTATATCCTAACACAGATTGGAAACTTTACCCATTCCTCTCCTCTAAAAACTCTCACTTTTTTTAAAGATTAATTTTCTGGGTAAGACCAAATACCAAACTTTATATTCTAACCCAGATGGGAAACTTTACCCATTCCTCTCCTCTAAAAACTCTCATTGTATCTATTTGGTCCTATCAGTGTAGATACATCAGTAATCTGTGACACTTTGACATGATCTCCTCTGCCACTTTTTAATCTACCTGTTTGGAAAATGATGGTAAATGATGGGGTAATCACACCTAAGAAGGAGAAGGACAAGATATGGCCACCTTGAAATGGCCTGAGGATGAACTGCAATACTGTCTGTCACTCCCCAAGGATGGTAGTAGGAGCACTGGGGTTTCTACTGTGACATGACTAGACACAGACCAGCACAATGCCTGCTATCTTCTTCATAGCCAGAAGACACTTTTTCAAAGGCCTTCTGTTGGCTGTAGAAATGCCACCATGTTCCTGGGCAGTGTGAAAATCAGCTGGCTCCAGAGGACTAAAGAAAGGTGTGTGGAGATAGGGGGCAGCCTTTCTGTGTGATAGTAGGTAGCAAGCTGACCCACTCAAGACATGAAGCCTTTGGAGCTATAAAATGCCTAGGAGACTGGGAAAGCAGGCGATCTTGGCTCAAGCTCTCTGTCTTTGGTTCTCTGTAGGGATATCACATTCTGTCCCTTCTTCCCTCCTGGAGCTAGGTTTCTGCCAAATCTCTCATTTCACCTCATGCTTGACTCTGATATCCTCCTCACAGGCACAACGGCTTGCTGTGTCAGATCTGACTTCTGGAACCCATGGTGTCATATACAGGGGTGCCATAGCTTCCCAGAGTCTCCAATATGCTGGCTTAGAAGCTAGGGAGATGTCACATGTCTGTCACTTTAATTGGGCCAAATAGCAAACCCATCCTATGCAAGAGCTTTTATAGCTTTGTTGTTTAAGTGTATCTGTCTGAGCATATCCTGAGATTTTATTTGTATTATGCTTTACTGCCTCCATTTTAATTTTTTTATTTAACTAAAAAAATTCATTGTAAGTTGGATGGTGGTGGTGTATACTTTAATTCCATCACTCAGGAGGCAGAGGCAAGTGGATCTCTGTGAGTTTGAGACCATCCTGGTCCACAGAGGGAGTTCCAGGACAGCCAGGGTTACACAGAGAAACCCTGTCTCGAAAAAAGAAAATTCATTATAAAGAAACCTTTCTTTCTTTCTTTCTTTCTTTCTTTCTTTCTTTCTTTCTTTCTTTCTTTCTCTATCTATTTATTGGTTTTTCGCTTTCTTTCTTTCTTTCTTTCTTTCTTTCTTTCTTTCTTTCTCTATCTATCTATTTATTGGTTTTTCAGGACAGGCTTTCTCTGTGGCTTTGGAGACTGTACTGGAACTAGCTCTTGTGGACCAGGCTGGTCTTGAACTCACAGTGATCCACCTGCCTCTGCCTCCCGAGTGCTGGGATTAAAGGTGTGTGCCACCACCGCCTGGCGAAACCTCTTTATTGTAATGAACTCACAAATGAAAAATTCACACAGCTGGCTTAAAGGAAGTCACTCACAAACTCCCTGAAACTCAATGTATTTCTGCAGAGTTATATTGGCAATTTGAGCTTCGATTATGGTTTTACACTTTCCCTGTTGACTACATTTAATATACTTATCTACCACAAAAAGAAAAAAAGACTGCAACAGACTTGAAACTAGAAAACAATTGTAGAAAACAATTGAAACTAGTTTTATATCATCTTTCACAACTCATGTGTCCTTTTGCCTGTTTTCTGTCTTTCCTTGTTGTCTAATATTATCCTACCTTGGTTTCCTTTCTAAACGTTATACTATATACACGTTTACAATTGTTTGCATAAAGAGGTTTATACCTCATAGGTTAGATCTGTATCTGAGGAAGGATATGTGGTTTTTTTTTTTTTCATCAAAAAATGATGTTCCTGTGTGTCAACAAACCTTTGATGTTTATTTCTGTGCTATACTGGTTACACTTGTGTGAAAGGCAGATTTCCCAGATTTCCTGGCCTGAGCATGGCATATTTATTGGGACATCATTAAACGACACAGTACAGACCTAAATCTAAACTGCTGGAGAGTAATTTTTAGAACAATATTAGAATATTTAGAGCAAACCTTAATAATAACTTGCTTTACTGATGTTAACTTACTGCCTCTTTAAGCTGGAGCTTTCTTCCTCCCTTTAGCAAGCTAGAATGCCATGGTTCTGTCAATAATTGGGGTCATGATAAACTCTGACAGTGCCTGGCTTTTGTTACAAACAGAGCTTCCTAGGAGGAGTACTCTCTAACATACTCTCCCTTAACCAATGCATTGCTCAAGACTTGCTTTCTCTACCTCAGAAGTTGTCATTTCTAATGTCAGTTTAAGTCTGCAACCTTAGCAGCACTAGTTATACCCTAAAGTCTGTAAGTTTACATCAAGTGAAGAAAAAGGCATTAAAAATTGAATGACCCTTCTGACATTAGCATATTCCAGTTTGTCTTTAAATTAAGGAAGACACTGAAAGCTGTTCTGATCTAAGGCCTGGTTGTCTCTGCCTCAGGGGCACAATATCAGGAGAGAGGGGGCCAAAGGTGCTATTTTTAGTTAAACAGTTCAGCAGATGGAGGGACGAATACTCATATATCTGAAGGCTGAGGGGCTCGAATCATTAATTTTGATAATGTATTTAACCCTGGGAACAATCGGAAACTGTAATTCTAAGGTTACAATGCTTTTGACCTTTCCAGAACAGAGGGCACTTTCCACAGTAAACAATATATTATATTGCTACTTACTCCGGGGCTCTCACCGTATACATTTCTGGACCACTTGCCATTTGCTTTCCGTAGCTATGTTAGCACTGGTCCTTAAGTAAGTCAAAAAGAACGTTCAGGAAAGGGGACTAGAATAATGAGGTGGTCATGTAAATATGGCCTTTAAATAGATACGATGTTAGATTTTGTCTGAAGAAAATACTGTCTCAGAACCTGACTTCTGGATTTTATTTTATTTTAAAGTGTTTTGGGATATTGATTCATTTCATGTAGTTACTATCATTATGATAAATCCTAGGATAATTTTGCTTTGTTTTGCTTTTAATTGGGAGCAATGTTGTCTCGTAGTTGTAGCTTATATTAAACACAATCTGGTACCATATGCAAAGTGATACACCTGCGCCTCTTGCCTTCTTATTAAATGACGCATGCTTCTCTTCGGCAAATCCAGCAGTTAAACACCACATAGCTTAAGAATTTCTAATTAAAATATCTCCACATGTCAGCATATTGGTAATGTATTATTTTAATCCATTTATTTTGTTTATGAAACAGTGACATATGTTTAGATTGTGAAATATATGATCCTTAAAAATCATTTTATTGAAGAAAATTAATTCCTACAGTACTGTGTGGGTAATGTGTTCACTCACCCAGCCAGTTACTGGCAATGCTGCCAGTCTTAATGTCGAGTCGGCTCCCCAGCTTCGTCATGTGCAGTCTTGAAGCCTCACAGTTCTTTTTCTTATCATTTTTCTTCCTTTTATCTTGCTTATGAAACCAAGCCTGCCCTTCCACATACTCTGCTCCATACATCTGCTACCAACTTAAAAATACAATAAATGGTGGGAGTGAGTATTTATATGAAAGATTCTGAAAGGGCAATCAAAATTAAAAACAGCTAGCTACCTTTGCAAAGTTAGACAGTAATTTGTTTGTCAGTGGGGAGATGTTTGGGTCAGCCCTGAGATAAAGTGACTGTCAGCAGTTATTCCTCCAAGACAAGTAATTTCCCTCAATGCATTGCTGACAGATTGCTCACTTCTCTGAATCACCAGAGGAAACAAACTTAATATTGTCACGGGCAGAGTTTCTGTCTTCATTAGCCCCCGAGAAGGATTTTCCAGCACTCAAAGCCCACCAAGCTTTGGTTGGAATATATTTTAATAAACTGGTTCTTATAGTGGTAGCATGGGTAGTAGCCTAAATGAAGGAATTGGGTGTGGAAATTCAAAAAAATATCAATAGAATTAGGTTTTCATGTTTGATAGTCATATTCTGATGACTTAGAGGAAAAGTCTTACCAAGTTTACAAAGATGGAGGAGCACATTGAAGGTTTTGCTAAATAAAAAGGAACACATTCTTTATTTAAACAACAGTGTCAATTCTTCATGTGG